GTGCTCTGCCCACCACGGGTATCGAAACCCGAATTCTAGCGTTGTAAGTCCGCAGACATACCGCTGTACCACTGGGGGGCTAACAATCAGTTAGAACTACTGAACAAACGTTTCTTTCCGATATGGGTTGGAGTGTAGGAAACCTGTTATTTAATTACAGTTTTACATATCATGCACACACACTTAAACATTCATTGGGAAATGTTCATTTGTGGTATACAAAATAGATTGATTAAGATTTCCAAGACTACAATATGCTAGATAGATTAGATTAAGAAACCACTAAAAATATTTGATCATTCAAAGAACGTTTTCAAAATTCTTAGTTCTATGTATGACGGTTTCTTTAATTTGTCATATTTTGGGATTAGTATGAAAGCATAAAAAATAAATAAACAAATTAACGCTATTTTTTGGAGGTTTCGGCCTTAGATAATCATATATATAAGAAAAATATTGGATGAAAATATTCCCCACATTTTACACGATTTAGCCATGTAATAATATTTATAATTACAGTTTAAAGACAAATTATGCATTAGTACCAGACATCTAGTAAATCAACAAATGGTCCCCCAAAACAAATATACGTGTCCAGAAGCGAAATGAAGACACAATTCCCATTGAAAAACCTTCAAGAAGTTTGTGATAAGTAAACTGTTAGCTGAATTCAGTTGTCTGAAGACTCTACAGTCTTAAGGCACACTTATTGTAGAAATGCTTTGATTTTCAGCAAAGTGATAAGATTTGTTCAAATCAAAACTCATATCTTGTTACAAAATGATGTATATTTCATTTCGTTTAATTTTTAGTCATCGACATCTATATCTATGGCGTCGTCTTTAAAGGAATGGAATTGGCGGGAATATCACTGATCGTTATTGGCTTCTTACTAGTCCTACTGCCCGATAATTGGCCAGACTACATCAACATCCTATTAAAAATACACAGAAGGTATCAGAAGAGGAACAAAAGCAGATTGAAAGAAACCGAATCTTTGAGTGGACAAAAATCCAGACTTCGAACTGCTAATGGCATGGTTAAGTAGAAGAGAACAATACGCTCATATTGAGAAAATAAAATATAAAAGTCGGAGAGGGAAAACTTGAAAGGAGTTGTTGACTAGGATTGGTTTTGTATTTTTTACAATATAATCCGATTTGGAGAAATGTACGAAACTCGCAGTCTTTGGATATGCTTTTGGAAGGATTGAACTGCTATAGATGTAACATATCGTAATGTAAAGAATGATTATGTTTTTGAGACAATTTTATTCGAGATTTCCTTTTGATGAATCTTATAATGAAAACGTTAACACATATCCCGTTTGGATAATGTCTAGCATACCGGACTGTGGATACGAGTGTTCATCGTTGCGTCTCGTTGGCGAGACAAAAACAACAACAAAAACGGCTATCTTCACTCTGGGGGCTATGGGTGCGTTATAAGAGTGACAGTCAAATTCCACTTTTCTATTAGCGTAGCCCAAGAATGCTGTTGACTGCCTGTCTTCCTCATGATGAATGGATAGTTCAGGTAACCTTTGTGTAACTTTGAGCGAATATCGGAAGCAAACCAGAGCATGTCTTTTTTGCGATGTACATTTTACGTTTCAATGTATCATATAATGAAATCAGTTATATATTTCTAAATTTACAACACTTATATATTAAATTCCCTTGAAGTTTTAATGAAAATCTTAGAAATTAGATACTGTGTAAGTTGTATCCATGTTTTGTACTTGTGAAAAATGAATTGTTTTCGCACGTAAAAGTGGAACTCCGGTTTTCTGTATGCACGTTACAAAAAATAAAAGTTTTGAAATGCTAAAGAGTACTATACTGAACAAAATGTTGAAAGGCTGATTTTTCTGTGAGTCAGTGTTAACTCAAATTTTGTTGGGAGCTTTAAGCAACTAATATTGCTGCTTTGACGACTAAGGTTCTTCAAACAAGACCTATAATGTATTGTATATATGTCATTAAATATTGTACTATATTCTACAACGGCAAGATCAATCATATATATTTAAGTTTGTATCATGTGACCAGCAATTTGATAATTCAAAGAGTGTTATAAAGAAACGAAGATGTTTACAAGTTATCCCAACAGGTACTGATGATGACAAAACATACCTGATGATGAGAAACCTTGTCGAAACGTTGTACATTTGCTGTTATGTTAAACTTATATTAAAGCTTTTCTTCATTACCCATTCAAGCCGAGTCCAACCATTATTAGTCTCAAAGTGGGTTCCTCGTCATCGAATTTGTATATTTGTTTGTTATCCGGTAGATGTCACTGAAAGCTAAACTCTAGGAGCAAGACTTGATTGTTGGATTAACTTCTACTGTTAATGGTAGCGCCACCTAGATATTGACTGAATTGTTTAAGTAATTTACATTTAAGATCTTATAAATCCAACTCTAGTTAACGTTTAAGGGCAATGTTCGCTCTATTCTGAATTCGTTACTTTATGAGGACAGTATGAGACTCGTTCGATGTTTCAGGTCTGTTAATCTAAACATAAGTATCACTCGTAGTAGCTATGAAAGTTGAAACTACAAAAAAAGTTCAGCCAAACGTTGAGAAAAATCTTATTAAGTTAAAGTTTTGTGTCATTTAACAATACCGTTTTTTTCCCTCTGAAACACTAAACGGGTAATTAGATAAGTGTGAAAAAATGTACGTTTCCCTTTTTTTTTCTTCATATTACTATTTTTTACGATAATATTTTCTAGGAAGTTAATATCTGATCAGAGGCAAGTAAAAATGTCAATTTTAATTCTAACGGAAAACCGATGTTAAACTAAAATAAATTCAAAATTAAAGCGATGTACAATATAAATTAGTTAGAAGAGAAAGGATTTACCTACAGGTGTTTTATAATATCAGTTCGATACATTCACCTTAATTGATGCATTTGGATGAGTTGATCTTTGTTTACGTTATGTTTTCGCGTTACAGGTGTTTGTTATTAAGCTCAAAGCTTCACAAAGGGGCTATCTGTGCTCTGCCCACCACGGGCATCGAAACCCGGTTTATGACAGGTGTTTTATAATGTCAGTTCGATACGTTCACCTTAATTGATGCATTTGGATGGGTTAATCTTTGTTTACGTTATGTTTTCGCGTTACAGGTATTTGTTATTAAGCTCAAAGCTTCACAAAGGGGCTATCTGTGCTCTGCCCACCACGGGTATCGAAACCCGGTTTATGACAGGTGTTTTATAATGTCAGTTCGATACGTTCACCTTAATTGATGCATTTGGATGAGTTGATCTTTGTTTACGTTATGTTTTCGCGTTACAGGTGTTTGTTATTAAGCTTAAAGCTTCACAAAGGGGCTATCTGTGCTCTGCCCACCACGGGTATCGAAACCCGGTTTATGACAGTATACGTCCGAAGACATACCACCATGCCACTTCGCGTCACAGAAAAATCAGTAAAGGTACACATGTTAAATATTATTTGCTGTGTCAGTTTGGTCTCCATTACGTTGTTATTGTCGTTCATAATACTAAAACAGCCCTGATAGAGCTATAACAGAGAGTAAATGTCATCAAGAAACAAGTTCACATTAAACAAATATTTGGTTTTGGTTTCACTTTTACAAAAAGAAACCTGACAGAGAACACCAGAGTAAACTTCTAGATTTTATTTATCTATATCTAAATACCGCGCCCCCCGGTGGCACAGCGGCATGTTTGCGGACTTACAACCCAAGAAACCGGGTTTCCATACCCGTGGTGGGCAGAGCACAGTTAGCCCATTGTGTAGCTTTGTGCTTAACTTGAAACAAACAAAATCTAAATATCTTCCATTTACTTTTAGTTTTCTTAGTTTAAATGTAAATTAGGTTGTCTTTCTTTACCCAAAACCTTGTATATTTAAAAGTAGTAACAAGTTCGGGGTCTTTCTTTACCCAAAACCTTGTATATTTAAAAGTAGTAACAAGTTCGGGGTCTTTCTTTGCCCAAAACCTTGTATATTTAAAAGTAGTAACAAGTTCGGGGTCTTTCTTTACCCAAAAACCTTGTATATTTAAAAGTATTAACAAGTTCGGGGTCTTTCTTTACCCAAAACCTTGTATATTTAAAAGTATTAACAAGTTCGGGGTTAAATTTCATGAAATTACATCCACGGACTTCATTGTTTACTTAATTTTAACCTTTCATCGAGAACAACACAAACACTTTACTACTGGTGTTCTGTATGAGCGAAAATGGATATGTTTATATCTGATAAATGTACTCTTCGGTAAGAGAGAAAATTGGAAATAAAAAAAAGCAGAGACAGAAAAATTATTTTTTTACACTGATCCTTCTTTATATGTACAGAACGTGCTTTTATACATTAGTAGTAAATCCTGCTCTGTTTGGCGATGATCACAAACAACAGACAATCAGACAAATCCTCTATATTGATCCGAAGGAGCTGATGAAAGGCACACAATTGATTGTGTTCTATACAAAATACATGGGAAAACAAAAGCGTTTCTACTCGTAAGGAAAACAGCGAAACTACACAGTGATTCATAACCGAAGTTACTGTCGCAAAGCTTTTCACAGTTGTTACTGGAATAAACAGTCTATGACGACATCATCTCGTTCAATATTATAAATAACATAATAGATTTGCGTATAGATGTATGTATATAAATATACAAAATACAACTACAAACGCCAATTAAAAAACACAAACAACCGTAAATATTTCCGACAAAGCTGTGATATAACAATATAAGTAATTATTTAACTATAGATATGATAATATGTTAGTAAAATAATATCACAATTAACACAAATGGAGATTCACTGGCAATTAATTTTACAAGGTATGAAACAAGTTATTATTTTTAAACAATGTGATCATACACTTGTTGAGACAAAACAGATTGTAATTGAGTTGTGAGCAAGAAGAAACATCACGAACAGAGCAAGTTCAAGCAACGGAATGATAGTTTGTGACAATCTCTGAATGAAATTAATGGAGTTTTTAAAATGTTCGTTGAGGGAAATCATGTTTCTAGTGTAATAAGGTTTACGCATGTTTGGTGTATTACTTCCACTAGACAATGTGATCATACACTTGTTGAGACAAAACAGATTGTAATTCAGTTGTGAGCAAGAACAAACATCACGAACAGAGCAAGTTCAAGCAACGAAATGATAGTTTGTGACAATCTCTGAATGAAATTAATGGAGTTTTTAAAATGTTCGGTGAGGGAAATCATGTTTCTAGTGTAATAAGGTTTACGAATGTTTGGTGTATTACTTCCACTAGACAGTGTGATTACAACTACCATGAACTGTTTAGTGGGATTCTTCCGCCAGGTTTGTCTGGATCAAGAAAGCGATGTATTTCACAAGGACGGAGAGGTGCAATTACTCAAACTGGTCTCCACTGGGGAACTTGGAAACACAATAACAACAGAAGAACATGAACAAAAGTGTAACGTACCGTTGGGATGAAGGAACATCTTTCTTTTCACATAGCTAGAAATAAGAGAAATAGAATTTGTTAGAGAAAAATACTGGCTTGTGTAACTCTAGTTGGACACATTTTTCTTAGGAGATAAACAGTTAAGCAGTGTGTGCATAGCCTTGTTATGACCCGTTGGTATTAACAAATGCTGATCAGTTTAACAAAAAAATATTCTGAGAGGTTGCTGTATATCATCTCTTCTACGCAACTATAGATTGATGAGGTGTTAGCATCTTAGTGAAAACACTGATTGATGGTTTATGCTAGTATTCTTACGTTAAATACCACCCATGTCTGACACTCAAATGAATACATTTGTTTTACACAGTTGAAAAGGGTGTAGGCATCAGTGATTTATATTTCAGTCGAGTACTGGTAATTAGTTAATAGTCCAGTACAAAATTATATCTAAGAATTTTACTGTAAGTTTAACTATACTGTGTTTTCTTGTTGACTATCAAGTGTATAGTAACACGCGTTTGATAAGGGGCTTTGTGGGCAGAGCAGCGCTGTACGACACCTAAAACAGTTTTACAGGGGCAGAATTAGGACGATATAAACGATTTATTCATTTCAGTCAGGATTGCTAGGACCCTAGTTTCTACGTTTTTTTCTTTTATTTTTATTATCTAATAGTTTAGGAAAATATGATATTAAACTTTCTACTGTAAGTTTGACCATACTGTGTCTTCCTGTTGATTATCAAGTTTATAGTAACCCTCGTTTGTAAGGTGTTTTATGAACAGGGCATCAGTGCTTGACAAATAAAACCGTTTTACAGGGGCAGAATGAGGTTGATTTACACGATTTATTCATTTTAGTCAGGATTACCAGGAACCCAGTTTCTACGATTTTTGTATTGACTGGATTAAAAGAAACATATTTTGGGCTTATAGTGCTCATATATATAGCGAGAAATAGGAACAACGGAAAGTTAAGTTTCAAAGATATAATTGAAAACATTTTCGTCAACAAGTAAGTATCAACGAGCTATAAGACTTTAAGTTAAATAAAGCCAATGAAAAGACAGTTTAAACACCACAATTTGGTTGTTGATGGAAACGTTGTTAATAATATGCCAGTTTTTATATTATATTTATTTATCCATGCATGTCTCGCGTAGCTCAAACATTTGTAGCCTTTATTTAGAGTAAATAATAAAAAAATGACCAATTCTATATATCCTATTTGAAACGAACTGAAAATTAAATAATTAATTTGTATTATAAAATATTAGTACTTACAGTATACTAGCCTTTTAAATTTTTGCTATATATATAATGGTCTCTGACTTTCTGTAAACAAGGAATTTATAGCCTTCTATTGACTGTAAAGGAAAGTAAGCCTATAGTAGAATAGAATATATAAAATGCTTTCTTTGCCTGCTCGTATTAATATTGATAATCTTATCTATTTCTCAATGCAAAAGGTTCTGAGAAATAGATTTCTATTACTTCTCAGAGCATGTAACCGATCTATTGAGGTTTTATCGGTTGTAATAGGTCTAAGATCGAACGTCTACCGTTCATTTGGACATGTCACTTACCTTCACATGCTACTTGGTCTTTCTCCACTGGAACCTGATGGACTTGAACCAGATTGGCAGTATGGACCCGATCGTTCAGGAGAGGTCGCCTGCTGTGTGGACCTCAGCTTGACCCCTACTGTAACACATGGATAAAAAGGTAGTAAGTTTGGCTATAGGGCGCGTGTACATAAATATAAAACGGCGAATATAGGAATTCAAAGAACTTTTAGGGTAAAATAAAGGAACATATTAAACCGGGAATGTCATACATTATCATTAATACTTTGAGAAATACAAATTGTACCTTTACTCACAGGTGAGAAGCAAAATTTAAGTATTTACTTAAAACGTACCTCCCTGTTAGCAGTGGTTACTTAAAACGTACCCCCTGTCAGCAGTGGTTTCTTAAAACGTACCCCTGTCAGCAGTGGTTACTTAAAACGTACCCCCTGTCAGCAGTGGTTACTTAAAACGTAACCCCTGTCAGCAGTGGTTACTTAAAACGTAACCCCTGTCAGCAGTGGTTACTTAAAACGTACCCCTGTCAGCAGTGGTTACTTAAAACGTAACCCCTGTCAACAGTGGTTTCTTAAAACGTACTCCCCTGTTAACAGTGGTTTCTTAAAACGTACTCCCCTGTTAACAGTGGTTTCTTAAAATGTACCCCCTGTTAACAGTGGTTTCTTAAAATGTACCCCCTGTTAACAGTGGTTTCTTAAAACGTACAACCTGTTAACAGTGGTTTCTTAAAACGTACAACCTGTTAACAGTGGTTTCTTAAAACGTACCTTTCTGTTAACAGTGGTTACTTAAAACGTACCTTCTTGTTAACAGTGGTTATTCTTTTGATTTACTTTGTTTGTTTTGTGTCATACAATGTCCGCTGTTTTAATGTCAGATCTAAGTAAATGGTGTTGTTGGTGCAGAAATAATGTATAGCTATGGCCACCATATGGCATGTTACAGGAACCATGAATTATCTGGCCAGAGACAAGCCGTGTGTTTTCCAAAGCACCTCTAATCAAATATATACTTGAAACCCGCCCCCATCTCCCCAGTTTCCAATTTTGGGGTAAAACTCCAAATGCTGCAAATGTAAGATTTAACGTATTCTTCCATTTTTCACAGCAGATTTCAGGATCTCTTGAACTCATATGGAAACCTATGGTATCAGTCACAAACCTATGGTATCAGTCAGAAATGAAGACAAGTATCTTCGAACGTTCAGAGATTTTGTAAGTTACAAAACACTGCAGAACCTATAACACTTACTGAAACACACAGCTCCCTCTATCTGCCCGTAAAATTAAAGGGGTGTATACATATAATATGATTACTGGAACATACAGCTCCCTCTATCTGTTCGTAAAATTAAAGGGGTGGTATAATATAATTACTGGAACACACAGCCCCCTCTATCTGTTCGTAAAATTAAAGGGGTGTATACATATAATATGATTACTGGAACACACAGCTCACTCTATCTGTTCGTAAAATTAAAGAGGTGTGTACACATAATATGATTACTGAAACACACAGCTCCCTCTATCTGTTCGTAAAATTAAAGGGGTGTATACATATAATATGATTACTGGAACATACAGCTACATCTATATGTTCGTAAAATTAAAGGGGTGTGTACACATAATATGATTACTGGAACACACAGCTCACTCTATCTGTTCGTAAAATTAAAGGGGTGTGTACACATAATATGATTACTGAAACACACAGCTCCCTCTATCTGTTCGTAAAATTAAAGGGGTGTGTACACATAATATGATTACTGGAACACACAGCTCCCTCTATCTGTTCGCAAAATTAAAGGGGTGTGTACATATAATATGATTACTGGAACATACAGCTCCCTCTATCTGTTCGTAAAATTAAAGGGGTGTATAAATTATCTACTGAGTAATGTATACCCCCCTATCACAATTTAAATTATCTACTGAGTAATGTATACCCCCCTATCACAATTTAAGTTATCTATTGAGTAATGTATACCCCCCTATCACAATTTAAGTTATCTATTGAGTAATGTATACCACCCTAAAACCAACAACAACAAATAAATAAATTGCACAAACGGTTGTTTTGGCAACTAATCAAATCATCTGACTGATACGTGCAACGAGAAGCATATATTTACAAATGAAAATACATCTTTCCGAGCATTACACTTGCCAACAAGTCATTTTCACCAGATGTAATTATAGGTGGGCTAGATAGCTGATTTCAAATCTGTTTTTGGTTTTCTCTAGCACGTCAAGTTTTGATGATGAGACTGATCAAATCTGAAAGGTTATTGCCTTAATTATAATTGAAGTTGTTGTACATTTCATTCTTCATAAGTGTGTACTGTATAAATGTAACCAAGTGTATGGTGTGGGTATAACGTTGATACTGAAAAATGAATAAAGCTGTAACGTTAACTAGCCTAATGTGTGATTATTACCTAAATTGTGCTGAAATTAACACCAGTCATATTTCGATAACTAGATGCGCTAGAAGAAAACCGAAAACAGATTTGGAATCAGCGTCCAGAAAAGTGTGCTTACACGAGAGAAGCAAAAAGCTCGATTATGTCGACCAGTGTTATGCTTTTGAAACACCTTCGCCGGTACACGAATGTCCCCCTAGTGTACTGTTTGTTCAAAGCGATATACTATTCATAAGGTAATCCTACTTTTGCCAAGTAAAACAAGGTTCAGGTAAAAAAAGTATTTTTATTAAATATACGTACTCTACCAAGCAGTTTACCTTTTAAAATATCTATGCTTTTAGAGTAGCCAAAGAGATGGCGGTGGGTGCCATTGATTAAATGCTTTTCCTCTAGGCTTTCAGTTCAAAGCTAGAGTCGACTTGCGCAGTTAGCCCTTGTGTATATCGATATCCGAAACAAACAAAACAGCGATATTTGTTAAGGACAATATAATTCGGGATCTTATAAATACAGGTTATAATGATTTAAATTATTAGTCAGAAAAAATATTAACTTATTTACATTTTTTGTCAACATGTTATTTTACAGCCAATAAAGTATTACTAATTGTATCATGAAATTAAGGAGCGCCAGTTGATCCTGTGATAGAGCTCTGTATTTCAGAGATGGCGAACCAGGCTCAAATCTGTGCGATTCCACAAAATATTCCCCACACTTTAAGCTGTGTGTTCTTTATAATAGTGACAGTCAATCCCTTATCGTCTATAATGGATGGTAGGGTGCTGCTGGCTGGCTGGCTGCCTTCTATCTGTCAATAGTTCAAAAACAGAGAAGGAGTTAGATGGCATTACTAACTTTGCCATAAATACAAATACATAAAATATGGCATTTACGTTTGTTGTTTGTATTCAGAAATTGACGTTGTCGAAGTTCTATTTGTGTTGACTTCAAATTGGAACGTTTCAATTCGCTTTGATTCGAAGGGTCTTTTATCGTAGCACAAGTCAGCTCACACAGTCTAGATGTAGACAAACAATAACTTTGTAAGTGTGCAACCGTCAAAACGCAAGTCACCAGTACGCATGCGTGGCTGCTTGCTTAAGTTATTAATTTAACTAATTTTGTTATACAACTTTTCATTAGTTATTCATTTTTATCATTTCCTCTTCCGGGCTGCGGGCGCTTTCATAGTCTCAGACTGCGGAGTATATATTTATAGCGAACAACTTCTGTTATTTCTGATATAGACGCAAATCTCAATCACCTGTTTTGTTTTACTAATATTTATAATAGCAAATCATAAAAAAATTCACAATCTACGTCAATCCACTTACCTTGATTCATTGGGGGTAAATAACATACAGGTCGAGGCGGACTCCGCTTTATCGTAGCGTAAGGACCATCATTTCTTGTCTAATATTAGAAACAAAAGTTTAAAGCACATTTATTGCAAAATGAAATAAAAACGATAGAAAACTTTACTTTTTTTTCTTTTAAGTCTTCGTGTTCACCGTTTATTATTTTGTAGCCAGTTGGATAGTTTTGGTGAGCACGACCATTTCAAATCCATTAGAAAGATCCTTGTAAGATAAGATAATACCAGCTATACCGGTTTTGTGAAGAAATGCAGTTGGTTTTAAGTAATCCAGAAAGCTGAAAGTTTATTAGCAACCTTTGATTATTATCAACCATATAGTTACTGGAAAGTCTGAGTAAAAAAAATGTGAAATTTTGTGTTTTATACAAATTTTAAATTTCATACCCGACGACATTTACGACGCGTTAAAATATTCCCACACAATTACAATACAATTCACATTTAACTGTTAGAGTTAAAACATTCCTAAACGTAAGATCACATACATAATAACATTATAATATTTTATATTACATCTGTTTAACAATATTATAATGAACCTAAGATTTAAAACAACAATGTCAACTATGAACCTGAACCTCGCGCTAATTCCCAGAAATCCTATGTGGCATTTCTTAATTTGACATCGAGATTTTCAGTCGAGTTTGATGTCAGTCCATCACAACTCTTAAGGAGAGTTTATCGCACAAACTCGTAGTCTACGAAACTTAATGTACTTTTTGTAATCTAAACAACTAGGTTTTGTTTAGCATTTAACCTTCACACTATAACTCAACTGCTTAAATTAGTTTGAGAAACTTCTGTTTTTTGTAATCTAAACAACTAGGTTTTGTTTAGCATTTAACCTTCACACTATAACTCAACTGCTTAAATTAGTTTGAGAAACTTCTGTTTTTTGAAAAAGAGCTAAAATTCAATATTTTTAAGCACCATTAATATATCACTATATTTTGTTAGCTTTAGCAGTTAGTTGCTTTTCCAACGTTTCAACCTTCTTTGTTGACATAACCAATTAAAAAAAACACCAAATTCCTCCACATCTATAGTAACTTACAGATAACATGGCTGGGCAGTTCCTCTCATCAATCACACATCGCGGAGGAGGCACAGAAGCATAGGGTTCAGCATATTCGTGGTTTTCATCTCTTCGTCCTAAAATCAGGAGATTTTAAAACGTAAAATACTTTAAAAGAAAACAAAATGACCTGAACAATAGTCATTACTAGATCTATTATATTCATATTTACCAAAGAAAAAGGTAATTGTAATGTTATTAAATACCAAGATAATGTTTGTTTGAATTTCGCGCAAAGCTACACGAGAGCTATCTGTGCTAGTCGTCCCTAATTTAGCAGTGGAAGACTAGAGGGAAGGCGGCTAGTCATCACCACCCACCGCTAACTCTTGGGCTACTGGTTTACTAACGAATAGTGGGATTGACCGTCACATTATAACGCCCCCACGACTGAAAGGGCGAGCATGTTAGGCCAAGATATTGAAGTGTGCAGTACAATCGTATTAGCATACTGACTTCAGTATCTTACAAGAGTAACGCTGTGACCAGCTGAAAATTGGAATTTGAAGTTTGTGGTAATGCTATATAAAACATAAGAATTGTAGATCTTAACGACCTGAAAAGTGCAGTTTAGAGTATTTAGATATTTCATTTAGTATCAGGGTATAATTCCACCTTAGGAAAAATAAGATCGTTAAAAAAACGAATAAAACGATTAGATAAAGCATGATTTTAAAATGGCCAATGTGTAACAGCGAATTTTCAGCGTTTTTGATATTTTAAAGGTCAGTTTGAAAACAGATATCTGTAGTAGTTTTTCTTTACTAATTTACATATTTGTCCGATATATTTTACTATTTTCGATTACTTTACCAAAACGCAGAGGAATTCCGATAACATTTGATGAATCTTGATAAAGGGTGATCAACACTCTAAGTTAACTATATTAAGTTAGATACTATAATTGGATTGGTACTTACGAAGTCGCCCTCTAGCGGCAATAGGTGTCGGCTTTCTTGTTAGTGAGGAGTAGTACGACGGTTTGTAAGTTTGCTCAATTTCTTGCGGAGGTTTTTTGGAGAAACTCCAACATAACTATATTAAGTTTGATACTATAATTGGATTGGTACTTACGAAGTCGCCCTCTAGCGGCATATAGGTGTCGGCTTTCTTGTTGGTGAAGAGTAGTACGACGGTTTGTAAGTTTACTCCATTTCTTTCGGAGGTTTTTGGGGAACTCCATCATAACTATATTAAGTTTGATACTATAATTGGATTGGTACTTACGAAGTCGCCCTCTAGCGGCAATAGGTGTCGGCTTTCTTGTTGGTGAAGAGTAGTATGACGGTTTGTAAGTTTGCTCCATTTCTTTCGGAGGTTTTTGGGGAAATTCCATCATACCGACATTTTCAACTTGTCTACCCTTTCGAGGTTGGCTCTCTTATGAAACAACATAAAATTTTTAAAAAATAATGAATTTATGCAAAACATACGATACCGTAAAACGAGTTTAACTTTTAATAGAAAAAATTATTGTGCGTAACTGAGGCATGAATGGTTAAATAGGAATACACAACGTACAGTATTTATTCAATTTTAAAATGGCAAAAAACACCATGAAAAATTATTTGTTTTAATGTTTACCGATTAAGAAGACTTACTGGAACCGCAAATAAAAATAACATTAATGAGAATAAAATCATAAATAACATTCAACGTTAAACTGGTACACAATTCAAAACATTTTATTTAGGCCTATCTATAGCCTTCAAAAAGTTGACGACTCTACATGTTTCGACGTTACATCTTCAGGAGTGACGTCGAAACATTGAAGGTGGTAGTTAGGCCTAAATAAAATGTTTTTAATTGTGTACCAGTTTAACGTTGAATGTTATTTATGATTTTATTCTCATTAATGTTATTTTTATTTGCGGTT